ATGAATACAATATATAAACATACAAATATATGTACACACTACATTTCCATATATAATATATAAGCATAAATACATAAATACAAATATTACTTATAAACAATACATAAACATATATATATTATATTGTGTAAGGTAAAAAAAAATATTTGCAATCTTTGGAAAAACGTTTCGAAAAATACATTACTTAGAAAATTCAATCTTAGGTATCTAACATGATTCCTAAGTTATATGATAGATTGGATAAATAAATGACATTTAATTTTATTTATTAGAATAAAGTAGCAATTTTCTAACATAAATACTAAATACCTATAATAACTACATAAAGTACTAAAAATGTACTTGATTTATACAATGATAAACATTCTAAGATTTTTTACGTAAGTACAAGTAAAACTACAATTATTCACCATCTAACTGAACCCGCTACCCTTGTTTTTATTGTTATAAAAACAACAACTATTAAAAGCACTTTATCTTACATACCGTATATGGGATAATATTAAAAGCTTTAGATTAAAATCATCGAGAAAATATTTTGATTACCAGTATTCAGTATTATTTCTTACGAGATTTATTGAATTTTATAGAAAGTTTAACGCAGTAAGTTACTTTGTAGCAAAACAAGTATACTGATAGCAGCGGAATTTCTTATAAACCTGTCACCGACACGCTAACATCGTTATGTAATCAGTACTTAGTGGTTAAAGAAATATCACTCAACATTCTTAGAGCTAAACATGAAGAAAGCATATACCTTAAAGTATATTGTGCTGTATGTTATTAATCCCTCCACGACAGCGGACACGCCGGCGTGTCAGTTAACAATAGATTTCTTAGAATTTTAATTAATTTCTTAGCAATTTACCTGGAGCTGTAAAATTTTACTTATGATTTCAAACCACTACTTTAAATGCGAAAAATTATATGTATTAACGATTTGGATGAAGTTTAGTACCCATACCTAGAGTAACACAGGCTACTGTCAGGTACGTAGGAACGCACCGAAGTGACGTAAGGATATATCCCTAGTATAAACATGTAATTTAATAATATTCTCTTTTTATTATATATCTATCTATCGATGTGCTCTTGTTTTGTTCAGGCTTCGTACCTGAAACAGATTAGTAGCTGACGAATCCACTACAATATGTTACATAAATACGATTAAAAGCAACAGCAGCCTATATCGTTCTACGCCCTATAAACTATTCTTTAATAGTATATCCTTTAATTGTAATGGCTACGTAACCGAAGGAAAAAGTTACATACACGCATACGTACATTAACATTTATAATATTAAAAATATGTAGTATGTATTGTGTTGGGTCAAAAGGGCCCACCAAAAGCGAAGTCCTAAGTACAACTGGAAATATCCTATCCTACTAATATTATTAACGAGAAAGTTTGTGAGAATGTATGGATGTAGGTTTGTTGCTCTTTCATAGAAAAACTAAGCAACGGATTTTTATAAAACTTTATGTAGTGATGATGTTCTCCCGACCGATTCCGGCCACGGCGGCCAATCTCATTGAGACTAGCCAACTGCGCAGGAGATATTATAGTGCACAAGTGTACGCGCAGACACAAGTGCACTCTCTATTCCTGTCACTCTCATATTCCGGTGGGACGACTGTTCGACACGACCAGTGAGAGTTAAGGCGCAGGACCGACGGCTTTACGTGCTCTCCGAGGCACGGGGGTGAAACACCGCCAACTTCCCAACTCCGGGCTGTTACTGAGGCTTACTTATACAGAAAGACTCAATAACTAAACTTGGCCCGACCCGGGACTCGAACCCAGGACCTCCGGGTGTGCAGCCGTACATGCTAGCCACTACACCACGGAGGCAGTTTATGTAGTAATACATACATATATCTTATACATCAGAGTAACACATGCATATTAATATTATAAAGTGAAAGTGTGTTTGTTTGTTTATTTATTTGTTTGTCCTTCTTTCTTTGATTTTTTTGTATGGAGATAGTTGGAGGGCTGAAGAGTGGAGAGTGACTTTTTACCGCGGGACATTATCTAATTCCTGCTTCCTTAACTGGAAAACACGTTATAATACAATCCAAAACAAATATTTATAATCAGAATTACTTGAAACTTGGTATCAATGCTCTTCAATAAAATTAAATAAATACGTGTTTTAGCATAGTTCGAAATTTATTCCACAAGGAGGTAAAATAGCGAATAAAAGTTTGTATGAAATCTACCTTTATAGATTTTTACGTTTCTAGTTTTAGCGCGAGCGTAGCCGCGGGCTCTGCTAGTATGCTATAATTTTGTAAAGATATTATTATTATAGCTTTATTTTCCACATAACAATGTCTAATATTTATTTAATAATAAATTATTTCCTTTTTCATTTCTATGTTATGTGGCCCCTCGGTGGGTAAAAGTCTCCACCATTCTTTTCCATCTTTCCCTGTCTTTGGCCTCATGCATCCAGTTTTTTCCTGCTGTGTTTATTATATCATCGGTCCATATTTTCTTCTGTCTTCCCACTTTTCTTTTGCCTTTTGGGCCCTGTCATTTAGTTGTTTGGTAGGTCCATCTCTTATCATTGTTCCACACAGTTGTAAAGATATACGGAAACGCTAATACCTACTGCTTATACCACAAAAAAATTTAACTTCAAAATAGAATTAACTACATACTTCCCTTATTTAGTCAAATAATAACAATACTAATAGCCAGTATTACATGAATTCGTATTAAAACTATTATCTTTTATAGATTAGAAACTTTTGAAGTGCAATTAAAATTATCTCCACCGACATCGATTATATTCTGAATCGATTAACTCATTATGAACACGTTTTTGATAAAAAGAAACATTAAAATACCAAATTCATATACCTATATAATTATGACTTCCTTTATTCTAATGTTATGAAATTTAATATCACGGTATTTCCTTAATAATATTCATATTACATATATACAAAAACTAATGAAATAAGCTACACAGAATATAAAATAATTATTCTATTCAGTCGACAAAGTCACATTTCTACAGTAGTTAAGTTTAACTCAAATAAACTATACCTATAACAAGCTATCTAACTATCCTACCCCAGATATATTTCAGTAACAATTACGCATACTTTTCTACATCTACAGTGAGTTACGTTATGAAACTCTAATGTTTTAAATTAAAGCTATCAATGAAGTATAAAAATCTTTAGCGTGTAATATCAAACGGTTAATTGCGTTTAAACGCGTTATCCAGTCTCGTAGTAAAGTCATTGTACTGAAAATCATTGATTTCGACAGATGTGACGTCACAGCGTTAGGGATGTCTAGGCTCATAGTTCAAATAAAGGTCATGTTTACCATAGTACGTATTAAATTAAATTACGGTTTTTACTGGACCGGACGGCACATACCTGGCGCCGGCACTCGGTGGGGAGTGACAAGTAAGGTCACTCGGTGTATTGTCGCGAAAGATTATTTGTTTTGTTATCGATACTATTTATTATTTTAAAGAAATTATAATGTAGTTTATAAAGCAACCAATTTATTAATAGTTTTTATACTTTTTTTCACTTACTAATCTATACTAATATAATAAAGAGGTAAAGTTAGTGAGTTTGTGATATTTTGAGATTGTGACGTTGTAGGGGGTAATCTCTGGATCTACAGAACCGATTTAGATGAAATTTGGTAAAAAGATACTTTAAGACCCTGGGAAGGACATAGGATACATTTTATCTCGGAAATCATCCCTTAAGGGGGTGAAAATGGGGATAAAATTTTGTATGGGGAATCAAGCTAGAGACGAACCCGAGCGAAGCGAGGGTGAGTCGCTAGTTATCGAATATAAAAAGGCATATTAACGACTGACCCTAGATAAAGTTTGTTGCACTCTACGAATAAATAATAAGGCTACTCGTAGATTGCACTAGATATTATTGTAAATCACGTGCATGCAAGGTCAATCATTAACTAAATAATTATATGTAAAAATAGCTCATTCTAAGAAACTGTCTTGAAATATTCGTAGTTGATAGCAGGTTCTTTCCTCATTTAAAGTAATATATTCGTCACGGTCGGCGTATTCGCTCTTCTTTTATTTCAAAAACGAAGTAATTTTGCTATTGTCAAAGCAATTAATGAAATATATATTTTATAATAATACTTTCTTAGATTTACGCGAATGTTTGACATTTTTAAATAAAACTATCTTTTCGGATTATTTCGCGGATTTATTTTGATTTTTGGTTCCCGACGTTTCGAATGCTTTACAGCATCCATGGTCACGGGAGAGATGAGTCTCTCCGAAATAATCCGAAAAGATAGTTTTATTTAAAAATATATATTTTATAATTTAAATTACATTAATGATCTTAGTTTAAAGGTCAAACTTAGATATTAATTATAATTAGAGAATTAAATTCAAAGTTATAATTAAAAATATGATTTATTTTTTACTATATAGTTTGCCATTAAACACAGAATAATAGTGGGAAAAATTAAAAGAATCTTCTCGAAAATTAGTTCCAAATTGTAACAGATTAATCACATTATCGCTTATTTACTATGTTATCGCAAAAAAAAAGAATTGATAGATGATAAAAAAGAATAGACAGTTCATCATATTTGTAAATACTACATGTTTAGTTAGACCTTTAATAGAAACAAAGTTGATAACATATCTAAAAGTACAAAAACGTTATAAATATTTTTATTATCTGCTAAATTTTATCGATAATCTTCTACCGCACGCGGGCTTCTCTAGATGCGCTGCATTGAAGAGGCGGGGGACCCGTCCCTTCCCGCCTCGTCTGCCCCTGTTCGTGTAGTATAAAACGCCGAGCAACACGCGCGCCGCGTTTTACGTGCCGAAGCCGCCGTATAGATCTGTGTTCGTTCACCCGCGAAGCCACGCGGTCTTTGTGAAAGTGCAGTTTCTCACAGTGAGAGTTAGCGAGCGCCCTTAACGCTAAATCTAAGTGGTGTGAATTTATCGTGAACATAAGAGAGTTCAATGGAAGCCAGGTTCGTCACCTGCCGAAGCTTTCAGCAGATCAAGCCGCCCGAGAAAAGCTTAGCGCCGCCACCGACCGTCAAGGGGCTGCTGTCTCGCTTCGGGAGTCAAGCTCAGGCCTTATTCGCGCCGAAAAAGCCGAGATTCGGTTCATCTGTTGCTATACACAAGTTACGTGAATCTAAGTGGTTCAAACATGAGGAGCAGAATATCTTATGTGCAGTTCTGGAATCTGGATTCGTTTTGGAAGTCCGAGCTGAAGACCCTTTGCCGCCTGACTCAACATTGTCCCCTGACTACCATATGTACGCCATTGCCATGTGGAAGAAGGGTAAAGGTAAGTAAATTTTTATGGAAACTTTGAGATAAGTATTGGTACAGCGATAACGTGTGGGCGTGACGGTGGACTAAATAACAATACGTTGCGTAGCCGTCGCGCGCCGTCCTAATGATCTCACAATGGGATTTGTAAATAATTCATGCATGCTGCAACGTCCGCGCCTCTTAATGACGTCGAGCGTTGAAATGTAAATTAGTTACGATACTCGTTGATAAATAATAATATTGTGGGTTTGTCGGAGCTTTTACCGGTTGAATTAATCTTGCTTATACACAATAAATACTGTTTTTGTAACATGATTAACAAAATTTATTGAATAAGTAAAGTGAAAATACGCTCACTGATTAAAAAAAACTAAAAAGTAAACATTATTGGTTAAATAACCATAAACAGACTGATTACATATGTGCATTCAAATTATATACATTAACAAGACAATAAATTATCATTACAAAACGGTTTGTCCATTTTTTTTAAAACGACATTGTATTTTATTTTGTAGAAAAAACAAAGAACCCGGAACAGATAGAGGTGTACACAGTGCAACAAAAGGGTGTGCGCAAACGTATTATCAAGACTACTTTGGGTGCTTTCTGGAAGAAAGATTCTGTCATACGTATCAACAACGTAGATGACAAGCAAGAGACTCCTAACAGTGAAAAAGACATCAGGGCGAAGGTAAATACACACAGAACGCACACGTTTCCAATTCGCACTAACCCCTCATGATGTAGACTCTTTACCCTATATTTAGGAACTTGATTTTCAGGAAGTTGAAATTATCATTTAATGACGATTAAATTTAATGAAATTTATTATAAAGTAGATATTTTGTAAATGAAAATCAACGTCATATGTTCCAATAGTAAGTTGCATAACGCGGCCTTCTAACAATGTTTTGACACGCAACATGAATTACGATTTTGTGAAACATAACAAATGAAGTCCTAACCTGTATAGATAAATAATTAGGTTTCTGTAGATTTTGTCACAATTTCTGATGATGAACATCTACTTCAAAATAAAGTAATAAAATTTTAATAAAATATTTGTAGGCATGACTAAAGAAATACACCCCTTTTAAGCAAAAAAAAATTCAAAAGACGACAAGTCTATTCCTGTCTAATTTAACCGTCGACCTTAAAAGGTTTTGCTCCGCACTTTCCTCTAGGATAGACGTCAGAATTGGAAACCTCTTATTTCAGATAGCCTCATCGGGGCTTTTTGAAAACAGTGGAACAGCTACTAAGGAGCTTCTACTGATTGCAGCTCGACATGGCTACTAAATCCAGATTTGAAAGGAATTGGCATAATACACTGCACTTCGTCCACTGGTGCCGGTATGGAGAGACTCCCCAAGAGGCTCGCATGAGACAGGTAAATTATCTAACATATATATGGCATAGATTGTAGAAAATTTCAGAACCCTTGTTACTTTTTGATCAATGTTAAAATAAACTTCTCTTTTCCACCTTTATTTTTCGGTTCTGAAGTTACTGTATGCATGCTACAAAAAAAGAACTGTCTTTACGTTTTGTGATGTTTGTTATGTTCAAATAACTTTCGCATTGTATATATTGATTTCGCAATTTAGTACTGGAATTTGTTAGGATTTCTGTGTTATAAATTTATAGACTAATATTTTAGTTCATATTTTTATAATTAGAAATCCGATACGATTTATGTAACGACAGATTCTTGGACAAATCGATTCATTTCTCCATTATTCATTCATATAAGATTGCTTACTTTGAAGTTTGAAGCTTAAGTGAATGTTTGAGTTTTCAATGTGAATTTCCGCCATGCTTTCATTTGAATACGTGAACCTGGCACATTATGAACGAAGACATGGGACATCGATGGGGTAGAATAAAAAAAAAGACACGCACAAAGTAGCAATTTTGTTACAGATCAGCCTAACGACATCGAAAACACCTATGATTATCATATTTTGATGGTAATCGTTGAGGCGCTTTGGACTGGTTGACGACTTTACAATATCGGTGAGGTTTTTATATTTCGGATTTGTACCGGATTCAATGTGCCTTGTGTGATACACTTGTGCTCTAATGCTATACTTTTCCTAATTCTACGCTTATTATACTTAGATCATCACTAAACGTTCAATATGAATTCCTTTGTATTCAGTAGAACTTTTGTACCATAGTGCCAGCGTGCAGATTCATTAAATATGCACCTGATTTAAATACTCGTTTAATCATATCAAAAAACCTGTTGGACTGGTTTTTAAAATACAATCCCTTAATAAAAATAAACCGACATTTTAAAATGGATGGTATTTTTTTAATAAAGACATAATTTAACAACAAAAAACTTAAGCATGAAACGATATTAGTAACATAAAAAATCATATATAATATCATATATAATTATAATAGTACTCAATGTAAGTACGGGTCAATAGCATCGACACACTCGTTATAACTTTAAAAACGTTAGTTTCTAGTAAATTCCTCGAAGTGATACAAAAAAACTGAGAATATGATAAGGCAAGCATTCAAATTGTAACACAATTTGCGTAAATAATTTATTATTCCGTTAGTTCTTGCGATGAAAATGTAAATGAAACACGAATGCATTGTACCTTATTACGATTAACTTTGAATAAATTGACTGATTACAATAGCAAATAACTTTTTGAAAAGTTAGATAACTATAATTATATTTAAAGAGAAATTCCAATTAATTGTATAAATTGAATAACCTAATACAGTTAATTGAAATTCCAAAGCTCTCATTTCTTCGTACATATAAACGAAAGGGACACATGTTTAAACAATGAGATCATCAAACACTGTCGTTATAGTTGTATAGCCGTAGTTTTTCGTATTATTCAGATGTCATAAACCGCTTTTTTAAATACGCAAGCTATTTTATGTAAATATTTATGTATAAGATATTTATAATATACAAAAAAATGATCAGAATTAACAAAATTATTAATCAATACATATTGCAAAGCTTACAATAAAATTCTCATTTTTTTATTTAAGATACTTCATATTTAGTTGTATATGTATTTATTGAAAAAAAAATATTATTAAAAAAAATTACCATGTAAACCATTAATGTCATGATTTATCAATGGATTTTTCTTCAAGTTTGACACTTTGTGACATTGGCAGTTATTATGATTTAGGTTAATTGCCCTCGAGTTCACGTTGGGGTCAATTTGTTTCAATTTTATCAATAAATATGTAGAGCTGTGCCCTGAGTTTTCACAAACGTAACTATATAGAACTGATAAAGAATTATTATGCAGTTGGTTAAATAATTATATTGCATAATAAAAAATATATGTTAAAAAAATTCAATTATAACAAATTGAATAAATTACACATGAATTAAAGCGGAAGTCATATTATAATACGCATAAATTATAATCTTTATTGTAATTCTTAGTCGCGACGCATAAATAAGACAGATTATGTATAAAAATAGTTATCGGCTCAAAATGTTATCATAAGAAATATACATTTTGAAACGACCTTTGATAATGTTTAATAATAAATAATTAAGTATAACGGTAAATTACCAATAAATTTATCAGTCAGCGACAGCAATATCATTGTGAAAGTCGTTAACAAAATATTACTTTGATGTTTATATAATTCAAGTTACCTTTTAATTATAACAAAAAATTATAATACCTATTGTTCTCTTAGCGATAAAAATTCACTTTACGAATTACTTAACTTGTTATACTTACTATGTCACTTAATATGTCAAAAAAACATCTAGAACTAGCAAATCTATTTATTGGTCGATTATTTTCTTGTTACAGATAAGCGAATCTCTAAAATGGGGTAACATCGGCATGAACATGGGCGTGATGTTAGTCAGCCAAACTAATGGGCGCGCTAAAGCAAAGTCCGTTTGAGTGTCGCACGCCGGCAGTGCCGGCACTTGTCTTTGCTTCTAGCGACCCGGTAACATCGACTACGTTTGAATTTAGAATCATTCCATTTTTTTTAAATTAAAAAAGTTCAGATTTAAAAAAAGTTTAAATCGTTATTTGAGATTTTTTATAATTTTCGAATGTTAATTTTTTATATTAATTTGAAGTATATTTTTGCACAGGTTATTATAAATGTATATTAATTTACAAATTAAATATAAAATGTTTTTGATAGTTGGTGTCCCGGGTTTATATCGGAATTTTTCGCATTATATTAAGAGTTCCGAATGTTTGAATGATTAATATTATAATATATCGGAATCTCCTTCGTTATCGAGGCCCGACTTATTTCAGAACAAGTTTTAAATAATGTTCCATTCGCAAAAAAATCTAAAAATTTAAAAATTCGCGTTTTTTTTTAGTAATGTGAGGAATTTAAAAAGCTTTAATTTTGTTTAGAAATTGATTTGTTCGCAGTAAACATTCCTGTTTGAAAAGACGCGCCTCGCGGCTTCTATTGTATGTAAATATATGATATAAACCGTATTATCCGTCATATTTTTACATCTAAGAGGATAATTATTGATAAATTTTTGTTCACTATTAATAAATAAGGATTTCGATTCTAATAAGACTGTTCGGATTTTTGAAATCATTATTAAAACTACGAAAAACGCGTGTAACTTTTTTTTCTTAATTTAAATTTCACCTACTGCCTTTATAAATAACGTTTCCAAAATATAAATAAAATAATAAAATATTGTTCATCTAGTTACTTGGCACTATGTACTTAAAAATTTGACGTATTTTAAAAAGTTAACATAGGATAGTCACTTAGTTTTTCGTAGTTTTTACTTTGATGAGTATTGTTAAGTATTCATATTTATAACGACCTAATGAAAATGAGTTTGTGAAATGTGTTAAGATTGTTTACGAGTTATGTACAAGTTAATGTTCTATTTATATGAAGCATTTTTAAATAAACAGTTTGAAATAAAAATATGTATGTATTTTATATTATTTTCCTTTATAATACATAATTGTGTACAGCCTCCTTTTAACGTCTCATTGCTGGGGGTGGGCCTCCCTTCAATACGAGGGGGATCAGGCCATAGTCCACCACGCTGGCCAAGTGCGGGTTGGCGCACTAGATTAGATATATCATTCGAAATCTTGTTAGATTCTTTCAGACAGGTTTCCTCACGATCTTTTTCTTCACCGTAAGACAAGTAGTAATCGTATAGGAAAAGATTCGCACATCAAATATCAAAGGTGCGAGAACCGGGATTGGAAGCGTCCTGGGTTGTATAGGACGGAAAATGTTAGCATACCGATCCCATATCTATAGGTTTAGACTAGATGACATTCTACAGTTAGTGTTTACACTAATATAAATTAAAGAGATATGTAAAATGATACATAATGAGTACTTGACACTTAAAACTTATCAATAATAGTTCTCATTTGTCTGTGGATATTTCGTTGTTTAATTATGTATACACAGACTTAAAATGACTACCAGTCGAAGCCAATTTGGACTTTCTATATTAAGTCTACTTACTTATACACTATACAGTGACCTAGACATTTATTTTTATTTCTAGTTTAAAGTCGAGTAGCGACATCTAGCGATAGGAATAGTAATTATGCTTTTTAGCAAAATACGATTCTAGTGGCGTCTTTGTATCTATAATACATTTACACTAATGTTATAGAGGCAAGATTTGTATTTTTGTATGTTTGTAACGAATAAACTCAAAAACTAAGTACTGGACCGATTTAGTTTGAGACCATGGAAATGACTGTAAAATATGGTGTACAGGTATAGGTAACCCTATAATGGTGAAAATGTGGATGTAAGTTTGTATGGGGAAACAACCTAGGGAAGAAAATATTTTCACTACAATAATGATTTCTTAGACCCTTTTAAAAAAAGCCTTCCGCTAAAATTTTACCAACAAATACTTTTTTTAATTGGCCTTTAATACACTACAGACATATTGTCCGTGCCTTTTTTATATCTTTATTAATGTAAACATTCGTCCATCTTGTTCAAAAAGATAGTTCATCATAATCATCTCCCTGCCCATTTCCCAACCACTTGGGGTGAGAGTGCAGTACATCTTCCGTATTGCTGATAGGATTTGGCAAAAGTTATACGACCGGCGCCTGACTGACATCAACCCTCCTTGGGAATGTTATTGTTTATTACAGAAAGGACCCAAGGTGCGATGAACTGTACATCTAATTTAGATTTAGGTATATATAATTAATAATAGTAATATGCTGCTCATCACACAAATGAATGGCCCCAGCGGGACTCTAACCCGCGACCGATGGCACAGCAAGTAGGATCACTACTCACTACAAATTGAGCTAAATGTGTCGTAGAGTCGAAAATTGAATTGAAATCTATAGATCTAGAGATTTGGCTATAGCCAAATTTAAACGAATTGTTAAAGAACGTTTGTGTGCTAAAGGTTATAATACAATTAATGACTTTATAGAAGATGGCACGCCTTGGGCATGAAGTGATCGCCTCCAGGCTACTTCAATTTTATAGAAATATTGTAATTTATAATTTAACTCTACAACAAAAGATAATGAAATAATATTAGTCCCGCTAAGTTTCTTCCGCCAGTTCTTCTCAGATCTGAGGCTTCTTCCTTCCGAACTGGTAGTAGACTCATGACGTCCATTAAAAAATTGTAACAATTTAATGCCGAATAAAATATTTTGTATCTGAATATCTGCCCACGTACCTCTCTCAGCAACCCGAACAGCATATCAGTAGAGAGGGACCTCTCGTGGGCCTCGTCCATGATGATGGCGCAGTACTGCTCGAGGTCGGGCTCGCGCAGCCCCTCGCGCAGCAGTATGCCGTCCGTCATATACTTGATCTTCGTGTCTGGAGATGTACAGTCCTCGAAACGGATCGCGTAACCTACTTCTTCACCTGTAGTGGAAAATTTAGTTTTAGATATGAAGTAAATGTAGGTAGTACCCAGGGCTGCCTGTAGAGCCAATTTATTTTATACGGCTGGGTAACTCAAATTATACCAAATCAAATTTTATTATATAACCTAGCGACTCACTCTCACTTCGCTCGGGTTCATCTCTAGGTACGTTTTAACTGTTAATACGGATCAATCAATTTAATGGCCAATCCGTCGCTTCGTTTTGACGTGAAAAAAGGACAAATGAACAAAGCCAAGTCAAACTGTATATCGTAAAAAGAGAAAGAGTAACATCTACAAATACATTCAACTATTTCAAGTGCCTTATATTAATTTTAGGGTTGCGTTCATAATTATAAAGTATTAGTAAGGAAAACTAAAAATGTGCTTTTTACGCTCTTCCGCGAATTTTTTTCCACATTTTCTCTTCATAAGAACATTCCTTGGACTTCCATATTTGAAAAAAAATAGCTGAATTGGTCGAGCCGTTCTCGAGTTTTGCGCTTAGCAACATTCATTTTTATTTATATAGTATAACAAAAATGTTGAGAAATAGTCTGTGACGAATCAAAAATTTCAATAAAAATACGTACTAACTTAAAATGAAATATATATAAAATAACCATATTTTACAATTTTTTTATCCAATTATAGGATCTGGCAGCTCTGGTAGTACCAGCGCTGGATTTACACTGGGGGCACCCGGGGCTAGTGCCCAGGGCGACAAATTTTTATGGGCGGCAAAATTCGGAGAGTGGGAAAAAAATCTATTCGCGTTATCGAAAATGCTTTTTTACTATCCAAAAAATTTATAATGAAAAAAGTTAGACCACCGAGGCACCAAATTGTACTACATAAGTACAAAAAGTACATAGTGAAGCGTAATGTAGTGCAGTGTATTGTGTATATCACAATGTAATCTATACAGATAAATAAAATTGAAGTGCCTGTTTGTAATGTCAAACTAACAGCTTTTTACTAAATACATATGGAATTACTAGTATAATATATGGTATTTATAAATAAACACGTTTTTTTTGTCTGTCTGTTTGTTTGTTCCGGCTAATCTTCGAAACGGCTGGGCCGATTTTGACGGGACTTTCACTGGCAGGTAGTTAATGTTACATGGAGTAACTTTGGTTACTTTTATTTCAGTAAAAGAATTAGGGTTGCGCTCAAAAGGTTGAGTCGATAGTGTAAGTATATAACAGTGCATGGTAACTATATCATACTTGGCGTCGGACATGGCATAGTGCGGACGTGCATCTCGTCGGGGACACGCTTGGCGTCCAACTTGGTAGTAGTAGTAGTAGCAGCTTAGTGTCACTATATCACAGAGTAGTGCAGCACACAAGACGCATTTGGCGACGGACATAGACGGCATAGTGTGGTGTAGTGTAATGTAGTGATGTGGTGTAGTGTAGTGTAGGACACTCACCCAGCTTGACGTGCATCTCGTCGGAGACGCGCTTGGCGACGGACATGGCGGCGACGCGGCGCGGCTGCGTGCAGCCCACCACGCCGCGCCGGCTGTAGCCCTCCTCGTGCAGGTACTGCGTCAGCTGCGTCGTCTTGCCGCTGCCCGTCTCGCCTGCGGGGAACAAACATAAAAAAACTATTAGTGTCGTGGGACACCCGGTAGCTGACTTATGTAAAGCTAGCAAGGCAAAGTGAGCAGAATCGCTTAAAACTAAGTGCATAAATTAGTGCTCATTTAGAACTAATTTAGTGCCAAAAGCTAAATTTCGCATTCACTACGAAACCCCAAGCTATCAACTCCTTTTTTTTAGTGTAGGGAAATGCATTTACGCATACCACCTGTAAACATACAGGTGGTTATGTAGGACCCACCGTGTAGAAAAGCCAGTACTACCCACTAAAACCCAACGAAACCTCCCCTGTTTTAATAAAGCGTCGCAGGATTGCTTACGCTGAGCGTAAGCAATCCTGCGACGCTTCATATATCGTGGGTATCGTGGTTGAGAGCGTAATACGCTCTCAACCACGATACCCCGACAGCAGGTCTGCCGAAGCAGACCACAATAACCATGGGCTTTCTCCACCGTCCACTCTGCTATCAAAGAAGTTCCAGGAGCAACCCGCACGGTACACCGCCCACCGAGGTGGGCCACCTCCCTGACAGGGAGTCCCTGTGCGTTTCTTGGCTTCGCGACCGGCTGGATTGTCGGACGCTAATGAGCCCCCCACCACGATAAGGTGAACGTGCGTTGGGGAGGGCAACCTATTAACTCATTTTTTTTAACGTTGGGAAATGCATTTACGCACGAGGTGTGGAACTCACCGGCAAAGCCAGTACTACCCACTAAAACCCAACAAAACCTTCCCCCGTCTTAATGGGGCGTCGCAGGATCGCTTACGCATTCAACTACGACGCCCCGACGACAGGTCTGCCGAGGCAGACCACAACGACCATGGGGTTGCTCCAAAGTCCACTCTGCTATCAAAGAAGTACCAGGAGCAACCCGCATGGTACACCGCTCTCCGAAGAGGGCCACCTCCCTGTGCGTTTCTTGGCTTCGCGCCCGGCTGTATTGCCGAGCACTACTGAGCCCCCCACCACGACAAGGTGAACGCACGCTGGGGGGGAACCTATTAACTCCTACTGCAAGACGCGTTGAGGAACTACGTTCTAATATTTACGTACCCATATATCCAATATGTATACTCGTATCGCAGATGACATAATAGATAACTAATACCGATATATGTGATATTAGTATATAACATGTCATAGAAATATATTGGAAAGCAGTAATTTAGGTTCATCTTCGGGCTATTTTTATTTGCTTTAATAGATACTAGATGTCGTGATTTGCAAACTCCAAAGAAAAATTCTTCGTTTAGGGCAGAAACTCACAGAGGTATACACATGTCTAGTAATAATTTAGTGGTAATTATTTTGTCATAGAGGAAGGAACTGTCGTCTGTAATACAGGCCTCGGCCTAGTACAGTCGGCAGTAACAAACCCAAGTAACTTAAACTGTAATTAGCTTATTTTGCGATTAGTGTAAACAATGTAATCTAATGCTAATTAAGTTTTATTATTATTATTACAGAATAATCCACCAGAATTTCATCACAATCGGATTAAAGGAAACGTATAAAAGACAAACATACGAACATTCATTTTTATATATATCTATTGTATCTAATAATAATGTTATTTAGAATACATCTTACCAACAATAATAACGACACTGTTCTCTCTGATGACCTGCATCAGCTCCTCTCTCACCGCGAACACCGGCAAGAACCGCCTTTGTTCCCCAATTGACATTTTCTTTACGAAATCCGACTTAGATTCCGGTTCTTTCTGGTTCTCGTCTGGAAAATTAGAAAAACAAAATCAGTCATCATTAAAAAAAAAAAAAATAAATTGTCGGTATGTCTATCTGGGAACGCATCACGACAAAACCACTAGACAGATTTTGATGAAAATTGGTATGATGATAGCTGGTTTTCCGGATCAACATATAGGATACTTTTTACTGCGGGAAAATATCTCATCTCTAAGAAATCTATACTAGACGTTAAAACGTAACGTATATATAGTTAAAAATACTTTTACATACCTTTATCCATATGTTGTGCATATTTGTAAGCTGTCTTTGTGGGACCGTCCTCCATTTCTTCTTCTTTCCTCTGGATACCCATTATGTTGCCTTAAAAATAAACATGTTTTATTAATCTACACATATATTATAACGAAGAAAGATTTGTATTTTTGTATGTTTGTAGTAAATAAACTCAAACATTACTGGACCGATTTAGATGAAATTTAATAAGATAGTTTGAGATTCTGGAAAGGACATAGGATATCTTTTATTTCGGAAATCATCCGTTAAGGGGTGACAATGGGGATGAAAGTTTGTATGAGGCATCAACCTAGGGACGAAACCGAGCGAAGCGAGGGTGAGTAGCTAGTAATTCATATTAATCGTTAACATATTAATCGTTAAGTCCTTTAGATGCTGAGCTTATAAACTTATAAAATTTGGCGTGAGCTGCGAAAGCTAGGGACGAATCCAAACGAAGCGAGGGTGAGTCGCCAGTCTATACATATAATAAAATTGTAACTTAGCCGAATACATATGAATATGTACATTAAATATTTTTTGGAAAATCTTATTGAAATAGACATTTTTATCGATACAGCGGCCGAATCTATAGTTTTTAGAATTTTTGTCTGTCTGTCTGTTACCGCATCACGGAAAAACCACTGGATGGATTTTGATGAAATTTGGTATGGTGATAGCTGGTTATCCGGATCAAAATATAGGATATTTTTCACTGCGGCAAAATATCTTATTTTTAAGAAGTCTATAACAAGTTAAAACGTAAGTAGGGACGAACCCGAGCGAAGTCTAAAAAAATCATTGAGAACTTTCATTGCTAATTGCATGAAAATTAATATATTATATGATATGGTTTTAATAATTACCAATTTTAGTTCCCTCTAACTTCCAGTGTTTCTTCTGCGCTTTCCTTCTCTCCTTCTGTTCTCTAAAGGCTTTTACCAGCGCCGAACCTTTTCGAGCATTTAAAGCCATGTCCGATGTGGGATCCTTTACCTTGGAAAATTACATCAATATTATAATATACTATATACTAACAGAACACGCCGCTACACCCGCGTTCAATCTATAAAAAAAAACTCTTTAGCTTTATGCTAATCAGCGATGTATTTATGTCTTTACTATTTATATAATATTGTTGATACATAAATACTAAAATCACGATTGAATAATAGGGGGTATACTTTACGACCTATTCTCAAACCAGCCAAATATACATTTTTTTTTATTAAAATCGGTCGAGCCGTCTCGGAGGAGTGCGACCACAAACACCGTGACATATTTATTTATTAGATAGTACTTTGTGATTGAGTATGTTTGTTACTTTTTTACGCAGTAATGCTTAACATCTCCAGGTAAATTTCTAAGAAATTAATTAAATTTCTAAGAAATCTATTGTTAACTGATACGCCGGCGTGTCCGCGGTCGTGGAGGGATTAATCTAAGACTAAAAATTGTATAGACGGAGTCCGCTAAAGTAAATTTCAAACGCCAAATTAGTAGCGTGTGTTTTTCTGTTTATGCTACTATTCTCGATTTTGCTAAATAGATCATTTACTTCCTTTAAAGAATAAGAAAATTTCAGTTAATTTAATATACATTTTTTGTGAATAAAAGAAGAATAATAAAAATAATACTACATAATATGTATATTCTTTTGTATTTTTTAATCATTAGTTCTCTTCCGTTCGAAAGAGTGATAGCATAATATTAGGTTATTTAATTTTATTCTTTATTATAATAAAATCCGTTACTTTATCACAGTAATAAATATTCTATAATTATTTGCATTCTTTTGTTTGTTTGTTTGTTTGTTTATTTGGCTTCATGTTTAGTTCTATGACACTATATTATTCCTCAGTCTGAGACTCTACCATAGCTTAATCAACATGTAATTCTTATTTAATTCAATAGTATAATTAGAATACTTACTGGTATAACAGGCTCTGGTTGTTTGGTGAAGACTATCCTACCGTCTAAGAAAGGAGGTACGATGTTGTGTACTAACAGATGAACACGATCTACGCTTTCCTGTAAAATAAGATATAATATGAGAATAAGACAAAAATTATGGACTGTAAGAGAGAGATTTCTGTTAGATTTACTGCCAATATTTGACATTTTAAATAAAACTATTTTTTCGGATTCTTTTCCAAGATGTATTTTGATTTTTGGTTCCCGACGCAACGTTTCGAATCCTTCACTGCAATGAGTCTCTTCAGTGACCATGATTGTGCATGAAGAATCAATAATTTCTCAAGTGTTATTTATATATTTTTTATTTTTTAAATTACTTATCTATTTTTCTGCACCAACATATAGTCCACCTTATCTATAGGTATCTATTCCACACTAACCGTTAAAGCGAGGGTGAGTCGCTAGATTTATAAAAAGAATTAAGACTCAAAGTATAAATAAAACTATTTTTTCAGATTATTTCGCAGATTTATTTAGATTTTTGGTTCTCGACGTTTCGAATGCTTTACAGCAATCATGGTGATGGGAGAGACTAAGGTCTTAGACGTCTCAAAGGCGTTATATGCTTGTTACAGACAGTGCCTATTATTTTACAAAAATATGGTATATTTGCATAAATCTAAGAAAGTATTACTCAAAGTATACAATAACTCACCTCATCCAAATCATTATTAACATTGATAGAATGCACCACCCCGCTGGTGAGCATTCTGTTTCTCTCCCACAGCTCGTTATCCTTATCTATCTGTTGTCTCGCGGCTGACACTTTTCTATTGCGACGCTTTTCTATCTGTTCTTCTTTACGTGCTATGTATTCTGCACTTGTTCCAGCGAAGGGGTCAGATTCGTCTGTTTCACCTTTAATATGAAAGAATAGAAATGGATGTATATATATATGACGGGTCAGTAAAAAAAATCAGCGTTCTACACTTAGTAGTACTCGAGTACCATCCATTTTATTGAAAAATGAAATATTTATAATATGTATGTATTTAAGAGTTATATGTGTGTAGTGTATCAACTATCTGGTATCCATAACACAAGCCTCGTAGCTTACCATGGAACTAGATGGTGCTGTGTGTTAATGTCCCAACAAAAAAAAAACTACCCGGAGTGGAATTTTTCGGTACTGTGACTAGAGTTTTGCTCTGCTGAAACTAAGCCAAACGTGTCGTATTCTAAGTATAAGAAAATTAAAAAAAACGTGTGTGTGCGTACTTATGTACGCACGATGAAGTTATACTTCTTTGGCGTAAAAGAACAAAAATAGCTAAAGATTTCATCTCGTATATCACAACTCTGTTTGTAAAAGGAATGCAGCTAACTTTATCATATCGCTTTCAGCTAAGTTTCATTCCCCATGGCACTATATTATATGGTTTAAAAAATCCTCGAATTTCTATATAATGTGTTTATATAGTCTAATAAATATTATATTTAATTTACGATATGTTTATTTGTGAGGCATTAAAATTTGATCTTTAGTTTTGCATGTTTCATTTGTATTACTAGGTAGTATAACCTAATATCAACAAGAGAGCACATCTAGTACCTTTAAATAAGCCACTCTTGTATATTTATTTATATATAACGGCGATCTCGGAAACGTCTCTAACGATTTCGTTGAAATTTGGTATGTGGGGATTTTCGGGGGCGAAAAATCGATCTAGATTAGTCTTATGTCTAGGAAAACGCGTGTTTTTGAGTTCTTCATGCGGTTTTCTTTCGAAATATTCCACGCAGAATATGGTCCCTAATTTCGCACGCTCGGACATAAGCACAGATATCCGGGTTCGAATCCCCGGTCGGATACAAAGTTTTTACTTTTGTCCTTTTTTTGTTTTTTTTTTTAATATTTATAAACAACTTATAAGCGGCCATGCAAAAGCTAACTTAAAATAATGGTTAAATACAAATAATTGTATAAATTACCTTCACCCATATTATACCAAGCTCTGTCCAATTTCTTTTCAGCTTCTTGCCATTCAGGATCATCGACATCTAAGCCTCGACGAGAGCTCACCCATCTGTAAATATATTATAAGTTATAATGGTCTATAATTGTACTATATACATAGAAAATAAAAAAACGAACTTATAAATTATTATTAATATTATTGCATCAGGATTGCATCATGAACGAATTAGCCACTGGACCAGACATAAATTTTAGCCTTGGTCGTTTGTTTTTTGCGTCAGTCTCAAGCACATACTTGTCAACAAAAAATCTCCCAAAAATGACTAAATGTTCTGTAAAATCGTGTAAAACGATACAAAAACATAAAATACTTTTATCACAGTATCCTACTATCTGATGACAATAAATTTAATTAAAAATATTTTCTAAATCAAATAAAAATATTATAAATGCAAAAATTATAATTAGTATGTGTACTTAATTTTTTATTCATATAAATCAAATTAATAGATAATTATTATTTTACACATTATTATTGCCTCTTTAATTCATTTATTTTAATTTATTATAATAAATACAGATATTTTAAATTAAAAGATGTAAAATTATGATGACTATGCTAACAAATGTCTAAAATGTAATTCATTCGTTCATCGACATATGCATTTTATAGATTACGTTCAAGCACTAGAAATATTGTATTGTGTATTAGTGTAATATAATAAAATCTTTGTGTGCGTTATGCGTCACTTGTTTGTACTAGTTTTCATACATTTGTATTTTATGTCAGGTCCTGTGGTTAATTTGTTCATGGATTGCATATATTAAACAAATCCACTTTTAAATGAAATTGCATACATTTTCATTATTTTCCCAGACATTTTTAACCTTAAAATTGCCCAAGAGGTACTTATATAGGTAATTCACTGATATTACCTACAAATGCACAAGTGGACAAACCAATAATCTTAGTTTGTTCTTTCAATTGAGTAAATCAGTATAATTATTTGTATTAAATATAAAGTGCATAGTTTAGAGAGACATAGCATGGGCCATTTGTCATCCCGATATATGATAAATTTATGGAGTGGCAGCCCAGTGGAAGCATTGCTTGGAAAACCAAGTTAAGAGGGTTCAAATCCCGGTCTTGCACCTGACATTGTCATGTGTGAATTATTTCCAACATGATTACCACTTGTCTTAAGGTGAAGAAAAACACCAAGAGGAAACCTGCATGTTTGAGCTATCCTAGCAAGTTTTCAAAAGACATGTGAAAACCACCAACCCACTCGGCCATTGTGGTGGACTATGGACTGATACATGCTCCTTGTAATAATGAAGGCCTGTGCCCAGCAGTGGGAGGTTAAGTAAGAGCTGAATACGAAAATTCATTGAAAACATGTAAATATTTGTATATTTTAAATCCTAAATTACTTACTTATGTGGTGTAGCTCTAACAGTGTCATCATATGGACGTCCTTTATAGTCTTTAGAAGGCTTTTTATATCTGTCAGTATCCCTTGGTAATGGTGTGGGAAAGTCCCAGCTAGATTTACGGACAGCTTTAGGATCGTCGTCATCATCATCCCATGCTGTTTTATCAGTTGGTTTGAGAGCTTTGATACTGAAATATAAGTAATGTTGTATGAATAAAAAGCAAAAACTTAAAATATTACTCAACTGAACATTTTCAAGCATTTTTGTTTATTAACAAGCTTTAGCCTGTAGCTTTGCCTGCGTTTGTATTTCTGTCAATACATAACCACTACACTGAACTAAATATTTCATATACATTTTTTTTTAAATCTATACATTTAGTGTGGAAATAAATATACAAAAAAATCTATTATTATATTAATTCATTCATAGTAATCATTTATATTCAAATACTAACTATAATTGAATTCTAACATTGGTTACATACCTTGGAGTTCTAGGTTCATCCTTAAATCTTGGCTCATAATAACTTCTACGAGAGCTGTCTCTGTCTGTATCCCGATCTCGTCTCTCCGAGTCTCTCCTCCTATCTCTTTCACTTCTATCACTTCTCTCTCTATCTCTATATCTATCTCTTCTATCATCATCTCGGCGCCTATCTCTATCACGTCGATCGTAGCGGTGATAATGACTATCATCATCTTCTTTAGATCTAGATTTTTTCTCTTCCTGTGTCGAATAATGTACACCTTTCTCCCTTGTTTCTTTTTCTTTTCTAGAAAATATTTAAACACTATGCTATTAATCTTATTTCAATTCCATAAAGGTCAAATATGCAATTAATATCTATATGATATAGAACAAACACCTGCCTGTCCTGTGACTATGTTTATCTTTGAAAAATTAAATCTTTTTTTCCACTTACAAGTAAAAAATCAATTTAAGTTAAAATAAATTTAAGGTCAATTATGTATGTACTTAAACTCATTGATAGTATTATAATATTTTTTTAGCTTAATCATTATGTTAATTTAAACTTAAAAATGTCTTTACACCTACACTCATAAATAGTTTTTATAATATGTAGATTAAAAAGAATCTTACAAATGACTAATTTAAATTATTTTTTTTAGTATGAAATAGGAATTTGATTTGGTTTACAAAAAACATTTTTTTTACAAAATTATCATTTTTTTAGGTTATAATTTTAACTTACTTTTGTAGTCTTTCTAGCATGCGTTCCCTTGCTTGTTCTGATAAGCCTCCTGTATAAGTAGGTGTTTCTTCATTATGTTTTCTGTATTTTCTTCCTTTACCATCAGAAGAATCTTGTTTACTATCAGATTCCTCTCCGTCATTATCCTCGTTTTGAAAAGAAATTAACCGATTTTGCTTCCTTTTAGCAGCGGCTAATTTATCTAAACCTAATAAAGAAGGTCTAGCAAATTGAAAATCAGGGGGTTTATCTTTTTTCTTAATAATTAAACCACAAGGAGCATCAGATGAAGTGCCTTCGAGCCTATGTAAATTTTCCTCACTGTCTGACATCGCAAACACTACGTTACACGAAAATATGTAATTTTAAGCAAAGAAATCTGTTTTAAAAAAAATATATAAATATATTAAAAGGACTCTGAAAAAAAAACGAAATTTACTCAGTTGCAAAACAATACATTTATGACATTTCTGACAATGACACTGTTAATTGGACAAATGACAACATAGTGACACAGACAGCTGTCACAGACTTCGAGTATATTATTACGATGCATTCATAATTAATATCAGTAGTAATATATAGGTACAAATGTTCAACTAGCAGAACCCGCGACTTCTCCCGCGATTAAACTACGAAATATAAAACTTTTTCACAATACATACTTTAATATTTGCAAAAATAACTTTGTGTTTCATATTATTTCTTAAAGATATATCTAAAACAAATTTAATGTTAGCGATCGTAACTCAAAATATCCCGGATTTTAAAAGATGTTTAATTTAGGTATATTCTGTAAATAAATTTTCATGTTAGGTTTAGCAAGCTCCAATGCTTCTATTTTTTGCACATTTTTCCACTCTATCTTTCTAAAGTATGATATTGAATAACATGGTAACCTTGACTTGATGTTGAGGCATCACCTGGAATTTGCAGGATACTCCACACCAAACTACAGCAGAAGTATGGTGTTAGGGCTCATTGGAATCGTCTCAATCTATAGGTTATGGATAGATAGATGGTATGGTTTGTAAGATTAAGTTTAGACCAAAATAAACAAGTGACGTGTCGTTCTCACTATTTGCCTTAGGTCAAAATGACGTCTGTCATACACAATTGTTTTTGTATGAAAGACGTTATGCTAGACACTGTTTTTATAATGTTTTACTTTCCCGCAGGAACCTCTCACTTTTATAGGATATATAAATTTTATAATACACATTATTTGACCGACAATATAAGGTATCAGCATGGTAAATTTTACTAAATTAGGTGCACACGTTGTTGTGTACTAAGCTGTATACTATAGTTTTTTAACTATCCCGGGAACTCTTTAATTTTCCGGGATGAAAAGAATCTCAAATATTGACTGGAGATATAAGGTACAACAATGCAAAATTTCATTTAAATCGGTCTTACAGTTTCGGAGATTAGCCCATACAAACAGACAACCAGAGAGAAAACTAAAATTTTGAAAAAAAACTGGGTTTTTTTCTATTTCTGTTCTTACATCCCCCTGACCCGGTTTTTGCATATTTTTTTTCTATGTACATACATTCGACCTCTATAGTTTTATCACAGTAATATATGCATTACATTACTGTGGTTTTATTATACATATGTTATATGTAGGTATAGATTTAACTTCCCAAGCCAACTTTACGAAAAATCCTTGATTAACTATTTTGCTTCGTTTTTTTAGACGTTATGTATTAAAATGTATGTTAATTATTATTCTAATATTGTATGTAAATATGTACAATTTTCCACCGTATCGAAAAGGATTAAACCAATACTATGAGCTCATCATGCGCTGGCTGCTGATTGATATACAATATAAACAGACATTAATATCATTTTGTTTTATATTTATAACAAAAAGATGATATAATAATTTCATATAGTTATTATGATAGGTAATAAAGTAAAAAGCTACTCATTCATAATAGAGTAATTAAAAAAATAACGTTATTTAAAGATGTTCAAAGAGATCATTGGGATTTCTTAGATATAAATTATTGTGGATACATAAAATATTACGCACTCAGTGTGCGCTACGTAAATTTAATAATTTAATAGTCTGCTTATAATATAATAATTGAATTCGATGGTCTACAAAGTAAGTTTAAAAAATATTCATTACACCTAATTTGACATTATCTCTTTGTAAATTAGTTCATTAAAATACGTCAAATTATATATTTTTTCCTCCATACTTATTAAAATTAAGTGTGCTAATATTGTTGGGAGACTTGTAACGTGTCAGTCAGTGGCAATTAATAAAGGTTTAAATGTTTAAAAAATATATTTTAAGTTATCATTTATAGCATTGATTTATTTAATTTTAGCGTAATTTTTAGTACTAGGTACTAGTAGAATAGCAGAAAAACACTAATTCTCATCCTGTAACAGTCTGAGTTTTGGTATTGCTATTCAACTTTTACTTTTTAATAAACGACTTCAAAAAAGAAGGTTTTTAATAATATGTCACACGATATTTATGCATCATAAAAATTTCATGAAATAGGTATATACATTTTATAGAAAAATAGTTACCGTGATTTACATACTTTACGTATGTAATAAAAATGTTTATGTACCTACTGTAGGGCTACAACTTACATTTTTAATTGCTAGTGTTTTAATGAAAGAAGTTAATATATTTGATTAGTTTATAATTATTATGCGTAAAACATTTAACCACTAGAACCCCGCGTTTTTTGACAAGCAACACATTTTTCCCCGATACAACCATTACATAAAAAAACACTCGTAATTCAAATTATATAGCACCGATTTAAAATGTTTTTGCTGTTTTGTGTTTTTAAATAATCTGGGCATTTATGACAATATGTAAAATACACTTTTAACTATTGATGAATTATAAATAAGCTAACAATCTAAGAGTGTTAGCTGAATATTTACTAGTTGTTGTATTATATTGATTTCTGACAATACCACGGTCTATATTTACACTAAATTTGAAACACTATTTTATGAATATACTTGTAATCGCACAAAACCATTCTTTGATTTATTTATATTAGTTGTAACTAACAACCAAATTCAACACTTTATAGCACTCGCGGCTCGTTCGTTGTATTTGCGTAGCTCATCGCGCAATTTTCAAAACAAACATCCGAGTTATAATGTGTGGATTCTTAATAAAAATAATACTAAAATACAGAATAGTCCTTACTTTAAAAACATGCGCCAATAAATCTTGAAAATAAGCCACTGTAATTAAAATTTGGATGGATTTCTTATAAGAGAGAAAAATTGAGGTTATTTTTTACAGACGCTCGTGTTGCATTGTAATTAACGTTTCTGTATATACATTTAGCTTCAATTATAAAATAACAAGCTAAGCATTATCACATATATGAAAACTTAACACTTTTCATTCAAAAAACTAAACATTTAAACATGTGAACTTGACTAAAATAATACTTTCTTAGATTTACGCGAATATTTGACATTTTAAATAAAACTATCTTTTCGGATTTTGTCGCGGATTTATTTGCATTTTTGTTTCCCATGGCCTGGCACCGATTTCGAAAATATTTGATTAGGTATGTATTTAATAGGTAGGCTTTAATTACTTAGCCAAAGCACACAGACTTCGAAAATATTTGATTAGGTATGTATAGTAAATGAAAACTACCAATCAGTTATTTTTTACTTTTTAGTGCTTTTGTTTGAAGTCGGTTTTTATTTTTTTGTTAAAAAGTTTTTATTTTTCCCTTTTTAGTGTAGACAGTAGTAGCTAAGTAAGAATTCGAACGTGTTAGGCTTGTCAAATCAAACAAAACAAGCCCAAACTCAAAGTATCTACTATTAGCCGTTGAAGAGTTCCACCTATCCACCTTCTGGCCTTACCATCAGATCAGGTCAACAATACCGAACCACTGTACTATCAACGGAAATAGAAACACTTGCAAAGTTTCAAGTCAATATGACAATTAGAAGTAGGTTAAATTCATCATTAGCTATTTTTCCACCCTTAGGGGTGGTATTTTTTTTTGAAATTTAAATGGGACCAATCTGGTAGTATACACTTTCAAACAACACAAAAATTGTTTAAATTGGTTAATAAATGACGGAGTTCTGAGGTAACAAACATAAAAAAAAACATACAGTCGAATTGAGAACCTCCTCCTTTTTGAAGTCGGTTGAAAATGTCATATTTGACAGCTTATAGGTATTATTTGTAAATAAACATAATTTATATAATAAAACTATTGAAATATGCTACAAACAATTGAAAATATTAAATTATATTAGTTTTTCTTTAGTGATTTACCTTCATGAGGCACCAAAGCAGAGAATAAAAGTCAAAATTCATGTTATATAATGACGACTTATTTTACGAATTTTATACATCAAAATTCATTGGATCAAAAAACTACTTTTATAACGTGATTATACACATATAAGTATCTCAATAGTCGCAAAAAATTCTAACAATAAATATTCATACGTTTACGGCTTAAATTCACTAGTTTAAATATTTTAAATTACACAAAAACAATAGCGAATCACGCGCGCTTCTGTTGAAATTTAAACAATTTTTATGAGTTTGTTTTTAATTTTGTCAGCATTTAATTAAAATTTTATTTTATTATATAGTTAATAAAACTTCTAAAGTTTGCGTGTATCACTCATTGAGCATAAAATAAACTAATTTCGTCGTGTAATAAGTGATAAAAGTGCAGCGGGGGAGGTGGTGCCTATAGGCACCAGCGGGGTTTGACGGTAACGCCGGAAGTGGTGCCTATAGGCACCAGGGGGTTCAAGTGGTTAAGTATATTTTATACGACCTTGTACAATAGGAATTAAATTTTAAAAAATAAAAAGGGCATGACTTTTGATATTTTTCCCGCGCTATTGGTGAAAAGCGGGAGATCTAACATGTTGGCATCAACTTGTACTGATTAGTCATGAATTGTTTGGAATATTAAAAATTGTTATTATAAATTCTATAATTCAATATTTAAAAGAGCTACTGGCGTGTTTCTTGCTTGTTCTTCTTAGTAGAACAGATTTCCATGCCGGTGGTAGCTTAAGCTTCGGCACAGACACTACTTAATTTAAAAAAAAAGTTCATATAGTGTCATCGTACAGATTATTAAAAATAAACTTGAAAAATGTTTCCACTAAAAAGTTTGGTGGAAATTTAAACATAATATAGTATAAGTGTAGTACAGTAAATAATATACAATATAATCGAACTAACAATGTATCGTATATACCTACATACATAAGTAAAATCTTTTCATTTTCTACAACAAAAATAGAACAGTTTGTTACTGACTCGCTTGGTATCGAGACG